GAACGTATACTCTTATGTATTTCTACTAGAACGTTAAGTACGTAACTGCCAAAAACCAGTTACAAATAGTAACGTACTTGATGAAAGGGAACAAGCGACTTGTTTTGCTGTTATTCCTTACATACAGGGAGTTACGAATCAACTTATTCTACAACAGATGAACTCTTTCTTCCAAGACAGGATTACTTCCATATTCAGAGATCTAACTCATAACCAATTGGCAGAGATTTTTCTGCATTTAAGCGTCGACAAGCTTCGCGCAGGGTGGTATCCTCTTTCCCCTCTTTTAGTCGTATTTTTAAGCTCTGTACGATTTTTTTAAATGTGAAGTGCTTCGGATTTATTTTTAGGGTGCGCAACGCTTCTCCTTTTGCGAATCCTATCTTAACGCCACGTAAAAAGTGTTTACGGGCTGTTTATATCAGAATATAATTTTTGCGTGAAAAACAAAAATTCATTGAGTACATAACCAGTACCTCCTCCTGAGAATATTGGAAAAGAAAGCACAAAAAATTGGAATAAATCTCCCCTAACCTGGGATAGCTGTTTTTTTAATGTCAATGAAATACTGGATAGAGTATTTTCTCTTCTTGTTTCTATTTAATTTATCCATCTAAAAGTCTTTTTGCTCTGTTCCCTTCGAGTTCTTGTCATTATTTACTCTGTCGGGTCTTTCTTCCTGTAAGAAAAAATTTTAAATAACCCAATTTATTATTACCTCAATTAATATTGTGGATATAAAGCAAATACCATTATACCAAGCACAATATGTAAACATAAATGGCTATTACTTGTATCTCATTGGTAGAGAGGCACCTGTGAGATTCTATATTTTACACTAGAGAGCGAAGATAGTAACTCACCAAAAAGGAAAAAAAAGTGTGTGTAGATATACATATATATATCTTTATCTATATATATATGCATGCTCACTAGTTTATCTAGTTTGAGCACTCTGGCATGGCTTAGATGATACCACACGTGTGAGATCACTTGGGGTGGCTATATAGCCTTACCTCCACCCTAGCATCAGCACTGTACTGATGAGGCCCAGAAGGCCGAAACAGTACTGAAAGCTTCTCGGCCTCTTGGGTAAGGTTAAAAGGCTTATGAAAAGTTTATTTTCCTTGCTTTTGCAGCAATTGGTCAACATGGACAGCCAGGAAAGTGAAAATATCAGCCAGTTTACTACAGATAACTCGACAGCGAATCCAGGAGACGTCGTAGACGCAAAGCGTGGTAGAAGGTTCACAGTCCTGGGGCGCAGACGTGGAAATCGAAATCCCTGAGGTACTAAAAAATCTGGAAAATAAGGGTGTGAAAAATTTCAGGCCGTGCCTTTTTGAATGCTCCCAGTCAAAGTAGAATCACGAAGGATCGCTCTATTTATTTTAGCGTTGATACAACCGTCACATCGCAAATAATTCTCGAAGCTTTTGACGCGGCAGAAATCGATATTGACGCTATCACCGGAATCCAGAGAAAGGCGTCCAATAGATCTTGGATCGTGACTTTTAAGAGCCGTGCAGCTAAAGAAGCCGCTCTTGAAACACCTTTCGTCGTGATTGCCGGTCTCAAAGTGTTCCTGGGCGACTGCGAAAATCGTTTGGCCTCGTCAAGATCCATGAAGCCCCCGCTGAACTACCCGACACTGCCGTGATTGGCCGACTCAGCCACTACGGTCGTGTCCTTTCATTTCGGCGCGACAAAATTGCACAACATATCGAGAATGGAGTAAGAACGGCTCGAATGGCGCTACATCGAACTATCCCCTGCCAACATCAACATAGCTGGTGAACCTATCAAAATATGGTACCCAAATCAGCCAAAAGCTTGCCGGAATTGTGGAGCTACTGACCACATGGCCAAAGACTGCTCCGCAGTCCGTTGTTTTAATTGTGAATGCCCTGGGCATCGAGCTCAAGAATGTAAAGACTCGCCAAGATGTTCCGTTTGTTTAGCGGACAACCATTCCATGCCTCAATGCCCCTTCCTGCTCTTCAGCGCGAACGTCGATAGTGAGCCAGCGCCACCTAAAACTGAAAAGGAAAAGGAACAAGAGCGAGCCCAGCGCGCCAAGGAAAGAGAAGAAAGGCAGAAAAACTACAACAACAGAGAGAACAACAGCGACAACAAGAAGAACAACAGGAATTACTAGAAAAGCAGGAACAGCAAGAACAACAGAAACAACAAGATCAAGAGAAACAACGAGAACAACAACGCGACGAAGGTAGAAGAGAACGACCAAGAGAACGAAGAGACGAGCGAGGGAGGGACGATCGAGAAGAACGAAGAGATGACCGGAGAGACGGCAGAAGAGAGAGAGATAGAAGCGATCGAGATTATTATCGCGGCCACGATGGCCGCGAGAGATCTTCCCGCCGTGACTACTCTGGCTCCGAAACTGATGATGATGGATGGGAGAGAGTTAAACCTAGGAGAAGGCGGTACAGATATTAATTTTTTATTTATATTCAATGAGTAAGCTTAAAATAATTTCTCTAAATGTGCGAGGACTCGGGTCCTCCAGTAAAAGTCGAAAAATTATTCAAGAATTAAATTATTCAAACTGTGACATAATCCTTTTACAAAAAACACATGTCTCATGCAAAAAAACAAGCGGAGGAATTCGAAATACTCTGGCGCGGCAAATGTCTGTGGTCCTTCAGGACTGGCAGGTCTGCCGGTGTTGCCATCCTCTTTTCTCTAAACTTTCCAGGCAAAATTATCCGTTTTTGACCGATTCCGAAGGAAGAATATTGAGCTTACTCATTGACTACTATAATTCTAAACTAAATTTAGTGAACATTTACTCTCCCAATACTATTTCGGATCGTAAAAGTTTTTTCTCTTGTCTGCACAATTACTTTCTCCCCCAAGGGGACCTAGTGATCGGGGGAGACTTTAATTGTGTGGACAATGTCCTAGATAAATTAAATTGTTCCGCCATCCTATTGTCTGATCAAAAACTTCTCCGATCCCTTTGTGCTGACTTCTCACTTACAGACATTTGGCGCAAAAACAACCCGCGCAAAGTAACTTTCACCTGGTCTAATAAAGACCATACCCAGGCATCTAGAATTGACCGCTTTCTCGTCGCTAAAGGCTTAACCCTAGTAACGAAATGTAATATTCTTCCATGCGTATACGACCTATCCGATCATGACTTTGTAAAAATTGAACTAACGACTAACCCTTCTAATCACGGTCCTGGAATTTGGAAGTTCAACAGCTCTTTACTCTCAGATGTAGAATTTAAAAACATTATGTCAAAATCGATTAACAACTTTAAGCTTAAAATCCCCGAATTCGCCTCCCTTCGCGAATGGTGGGATGCTCTAAAAATTGAAATCCGCAAAACAAGTATTTCATACTGTATCCGTAAACAGAGAACAGCAAATGCCGAAAGAATCCTAATTACTAAGCAATTAACCCATGCTAAAAACGCTTTACATTCTAATCGCTTAAATAACCCAGGTGTAATTAGCGATTTGGAAAGCCAATTGTCCTCTCTGATCTCGAAAGAAGCCGAAGGAGCTAAAGTCCGCCCCCGAGCACAATGGTTCGAAGAAGGTGAGAAGCCAACACGCTATTTCTTCCGTCTGGAGAAAAAACGAGCGGACATGAATAGTTTTGAATCTTTTTTTGACGAGAACGGTGTTCTCAGAAATTCTCAAAATGATCTTGAAAAGAATTTTAACCAATTTTACAAGAATTTATTCACCCAAGATCCTCTTGATATGCGAATTCAAACTGAAATAATTGACGGCCTCGAATTTTCACTGACTGATCATGAACGCAATCTATGTGAAGGCCCTTTTTCTAATAAAGAATTACTTACTGCATTGGAAGGCCTTCAGACCGGCAAGTCACCCGGTTCTGATGGTCTCCCAACAGAATTTTACTCGTGTTTTTGGAACGATTTGAGCGAATCTCTCCTTTCTGTTTTGAACGAGGCCTTTCTTGCTGGCTCCCTCGCGGATAGCCAGTACGAGGGCCTCCTACGACTCATCCACAAAAAGATGATCGACGCCTCGCAAAAATTGGCGCCCAATTTCCTTGTTAAACACTGACTACAAGTTAGCATCTAAAATCATCACTGAACGATTGAAAAAGTCATGAACTCCATCGTGCATTCAGACCAAACGTGCGGCGTGGTCGGCCGCACTATCTTCTCAAATTTGGCCTTACTTCGTGATGCCCTCGACATGATTGACAAAACTAATGAACCGGGTATTCTCATTTCCTTAGATCAAGAAAAAGCTTTTGACCGAGTTGACCACGAATTCATGATGAGAGTATTGCGTAAATTTGGTTTCGGCCCCCCTCCTTTTGTGGGTGGGTCGAACTATTTTATTCTAAAGCCTTCTCTAGAATCATTGTTAATGGCTCCCTGTCCCCCCTGTCCACTTAAGAAGAGGGGTGAGACAAGGATGCCCATTATCTCCTCTCCTTTATGTGCTAGTTTCAGAAGTATTATCAACGCAAATCCGTAATTGTAAAGATATTGAAGGTTTCCTGCTCCCCGGAGCAGGGGGCCTTCAATATAAAATATCCCAGTACGCTGACGATGCTACTTGCATCTTAAAATCCGAAAGATCTCTTTCTTCACTTCTCCGAGTCGTATCAAAATTTGAACAAGGATCTGGCGCTAAACTGAACACGTCCAAATCTGAAGCAATGTGGTTAGGAAAATGGCGAACTAGAATTGAATCTCCCTATGGCCTCAAATGGGTCACTAAAATGAGAGTGCTTGGTGTTTATTTCTCAAACGGCCTCGTCAATGTCGACGACGACAATTGGCGGGCCAAATTAGACAAACTAAGTTCGGTTCTAAATCTTTGGAAACAAAGAGACCTGTCTTTTATCGGTAGGACCTTAATTGTAAATACTTTAGGCGCAAGCCGTTTATGGCACGTTGCTAAAGTCATCCCCCCCCCCCTGTTGGGTGCACGATAGCTTTAAGTCGATCATTTGGCCTTTTTATCTGGAGAGGAAAAATGGAAAATGTTAGTCGCGATCGCTGTTGTGCGCCCCCATCATCCGGGGGCCTCAACGTCGTTAATTTTAAAGCTAAGTGCGCTAGCCTGCGCCTTTCTGTTTTTTCCAGTTTAAGAGATGACTTTGGCACATCCAAATGGCATTACCTAGCTCGATATTTTTTTAGGACATAAGCTAACTATTCTAGACCCCCGTTTTTCTTTTCCCACCAATTCTGCTCCCTCTTCCTTCCTTCCTTCCAATTACTACCGCCTTTGTCTAGATAATTTCCGTACCTTGCATCAGAAAACTGGTGCCTTACCTGATTCACTCACCGGTAAGAATTTATATCTTTTGTTGCTTGACCCCGTCTGCGTTGCACCCCGGTGCTCCGGTTTTTGGGCGTCTGCTATGGACCGCCCCATCAATCGTTGGGCCTGGGTGTGGCGCAAGTCTCGCCTAAAAGCTAATTGAAAACAAGAAGAACGACCTAATTTGGCTATTGATCCATAGAATGATCCGCGTAAGATATCTCCTTAAGTCTTGGGGATACATCAATAGTGACAAATGCGCGATCTGCGGAAAAACGGAAACTATTGAACACTGCTTCTTGGGATGTCCCAGAGTTGTGAAAGTCTGGGACCACTTCTCCCCCCTTTTCCGTGCTCTACTCGACTCCCCCTTCTCTATCTCCCCTACATCTGTCTACTACCCTTTTTCCCTAGACAAATCTACCACCGCTATATCCTTATCTAACTTTCTCAAGGCAACCATCATATATTGGTGTTGGCTTGCCAGAAATAAAGCTACCTTCGAAGGTTCTCTTTTGAGCTCCAACGCGATTATAGACTTAATTAAGAAAGGTGTCCAACTCAGAATTCTTAGTAACGACACTGATACCTTAAGGAATTTTTGGTCTTTTAAAAACGTACTTTGTTCGGTCGACGCTGGTAAGCCCATCTTCTTCCCCTCTCTTGCTCCCCCCTGAACCTTTGTATATAATAAAACTTGTTAAATCTCGCCCATGAGGGGTGCTTACTCCGGGCTTCAGGCCCGCGCGCTGTTTGCGCCCCACATGGTCTGAAATATCTCTTTGTAAATAGTAAATAGAAAACTTTTAAATAGAACTTTGTTACCTCTTACAGGTGGGCGCTTACTCCGGGCTGTTATAGCCCGTGCGCTGTTCGTGCCGCCTGTGAGAGAAAATATCATTAGTTAATTGAGACCTGTAATTACCTAGATAACTCATAATTGAATACTTTAATCAATTAGAATTGTAAATAGATATCATTGGCGAAATAAAACTGCCTGGTCTCCAGGCTTTTATATTTTAAAAAAAAAAAGTACTGTCTGCAGTTAGATATAGCTCTTTGACATACAAAGCTTTGCTTTCATGTCCAAATTGAGCACTCTACTAGGATGAGTCATTGCTGCTAGCATTATGCATGCTCACTAGTTTATCTAGTTTGAGCACTCTGGCATGGCTTAGATGATACCACACGTGTGAGATCACTTGGGGTGGCTATATAGCCTTACCTCCATCCTAGCATCAGCACTGCACTGATGAGGCCCAGAAGGCCGAAACAGTACTGTCTGCAGTTAGTTATATATATATATATATATAGATAGATAGATAAAGATATACATTAAACTAGCCTGATGCTCAAGGTAACAAAGGATCCCCATCCAGTCAACGACCAATAAGTCATAGCGATCTTCACATATAATTTAACTTCAATTTATGAAATACCTGTTCTCACTGAGTCTTGCCGCTGCTTGTCAAACTCGAGTCTCACATCATCTCCAATCAGCGTAAACGACGCCCACTCAGAAATTTTGTTCAAACCGTTTTTTCTCATCCACTTCATGGCCTGATGAAGGGATTCACTGGCACTTTCTCTTTCAATGAGGTGTTCGTAGAACCGACCCATCAGCTTCTCTGTAGCTGAGTCTGGAATGGCCCACAGCGCTACCAATACAGAGCGAGCACCAGATCCTAAGAACGCACGGGCAATTCCTATAACTCCTTCGGCTCTTATCTCTCCACTTCCGCTGTGACAGCAGCTAAGTACCACCAGTTTAGCTCTGACTTTCACTCGTGAGACATCAGCCATCGTCAACATGTAAGCTTCCTGCGGTGGGATAGCGTTTCCACTGTTGGGAGTAGGAATGGGGGAGAGTGCAATTTCTCCTCTTTCCGCATTACCATGGGCAGCAAAGTGTATCAAGCTCACTGAACTTATCCGCCCAAGTACCGCCTGCTTCGTTGCTTTCTCTTCAACTAGAGGTGGAACACCCACCAGTCGTCCGACCATCTCCGCTTCTTTTCTTGCACCTGGCAATGGTTGCAGCCCATCAACCTTGGGATTGCCTATAATCAAGGCACCAGTGTTGCTGTGATAGTCCTCTGGACTATCTTGGATGATCTTTAGCGTTGTCAAAGAAGGAATGACACGGATCCTATGAGTCTCCGATAGGTATTCGGCTCCCTCCTTTTCACTCAGGGCAGCAAAAGGAACTTTGTACAACCTGCGGTCAGGAACGATAATGACTTCAGGCTCCTCAAGAAAATCATTAACGGGAGCAATAAACATTTTGTAACACAAAGAAAGACTTAAAATCACTTTCTCGTCCTCGTCCTCGTCCTCGTCCTCCTCCATGAGTCGCAATCTTGCTGAGCTCTTTTGTGCGGGGGAGAGAGGTTGCACTTTAATCGTATGTAAAGACCGATCTTCACAATCTTTAGTAGGCAAAATACAAAGACTCCGGAAATTATCATCCAAAAATTGACTCAAAGACAAATCTTTAGGCAACCCGGCCTGAACTAGATTCTCTTCTGGTGATACTCTTCTATAGTGAAGGACTCCACTTGTTTTCAAGATCCACAAATGCAGACGATTCTGAAAATAAGAAATGTACAGACAAGTACAGTTATTTTTCTTTCTTAAAATGTTCTCAATGCCAACCCAAGATTGTGGATTAGCAGAGATGTGCGTTTCAACCGAGTACTTCTCTGCCATTAAGTCTGATAGGCCTCTAGCTCGACCCAACTCCTCAACATAAAGAGCATCCCGAGCATTTCCGGTGTCACAAAGCAAAGTACAAAGCAGCTTGTAGGGGAACATTCCTGTGTGCTCCAAAAATGATGTTTTGAACTGATCATTGGCACCCAAGAAATATCTCAGCTCCTCATACTTTTCAATGCACAGATGAAGATACAACAAGGAGTCTTTGATTTTATATTGATATAAATACAAAACGGCGTAGCCTAGAAGGATATCAAACTCTTTTCTTCCATCTCCAATATCTCTAAATATCAATAAAGCTTTCTCCAAGCATACTTCCGAAGCTTCAAAATCACCAACAGTTCTAAACACAATTCCAAGGTTTCCGTAGTCAGTTGCCTCCCCTTCTCTGTGGCCAATTTCAGTTCTGATGACAAGCACTTTTTGGAGATACTCTTCAGCCTTGTCGTATTGGCCGAGCGACCCAAACACAGTACCTAGGTTTCCATAACATGATGCTTCCCCTCCTCTGTCGCCAATTTCAGTTCTGATGACAAGCGCTTTTTGAAGATACTCTTCAGCCTTGTCATATTGGCCAAGCGACTCAAACACAGTACCTAGGTTTCCATAACATGATGCTTCCCCTCTTCTGTTGCCAATTTCAGTTCTGATGACAAGCGCTTTTTGGAGATATTCTTCAGCCTTGTCGTACTGGCCAAGCGACTTAAACACAGTACCTAGGTTGGCGTAGTCAGTTGCCTCCCCTTCTCTGTCGCCAATTTCAGTTGTGATGACAAGCGCTTTTTGGAGATACTCTTCAGCCTTGTCGTATTGGCCAAGCGACTTAAACACAGTACCTAGGTTTCCAAAACATGATGCCTCCCCTCCTCTGTCGCCAATTTCAGTTCTGATGACAAGCGCTTTTTGGTAATATTCTTCAGCCTTGTCGTATTGGCCAAGAAACCAAAACACAGTACCTAAGTTTCCATAAGATGATGCTTCCTTTGGTCTGTCACCAATTTCAGTTGTGATGACACGCGCTTTTTGGAGATACTCTTCAGCCTTGTCGTATTGGCCAAGCGACTTAAACACAGTACCTAGGTTTCCGTAGTTAGTTGCCTCCCCTTCTCTGTCGCCAATTTCAGTTCTGATGACAAGCGCTTTTTGGAGATACTCTTCAGCCTTGTCGTATTGGCCAAGCGACTTAAACACAGTACCTAGGTTTCCATAACATGCTGCTTCCCCTCCTCTGTCGCCAATCTCAGTCTTGATGACAAGCGCTTTTTGGAGATACTCTTCAGCCTTGTCGTATTGGCCAAGCGAATTAAACACAGTACCTAGGTTTCCGTAGTCAATTGCCTCCCCTTCTCTGTCGCCAATTTCAGTTCTGATGACAAGCGCTTTTTGGTGATATTCTTTAGCCTTGTCGTATTGGCCAAGCGACCCAAACACAGTACCTAGGTTTCCATAAGATGATGCTTCCCCTCCTCTGTCGCCAATTTCAGTTGTGATGAGAAGCGCTTTTTGGAGATATTCTTCAGCCTTGCCGTATTGGCCAAGCGACCCAAACACAGTACCTAGGTTTCCATAACATGATGCTTCCCCTCCTCTGTCGCCCATTTCAATTGTGATGACAAGTGCTTTTTGGAGATACTCTTCAGCCTTGTCGTATTGGCCAAGCGACTTAAACACAGTACCTAGGTTTCCATAACATGCTGCTTCCCCTCCTCTGTCGCCAATCTCAGTCTTGATGACAAGCGCTTTTTGGAGATACTCTTCAGCCTTGTCGTATTGGCCAAGCGAATTAAACACAGTACCTAGGTTTCCGTAGTCAATTGCCTCCCCTTCTCTGTCGCCAATTTCAGTTCTGATGACAAGCGCTTTTTGGTGATATTCTTTAGCCTTGTCGTATTGGCCAAGCGACCCAAACACAGTACCTAGGTTTCCATAAGATGATGCTTCCCCTCCTCTGTCGCCAATTTCAGTTGTGATGAGAAGCGCTTTTTGGAGATATTCTTCAGCCTTGCCGTATTGGCCAAGCGACCCAAACACAGTACCTAGGTTTCCATAACATGATGCTTCCCCTCCTCTGTCGCCCATTTCAATTGTGATGACAAGTGCTTTTTGGAGATACTCTTCAGCCTTGTCGTATTGGCCAAGCGACTTAAACACAGTACCTAGGTTTCCATAACATGATGCCTCCCCTCCTCTGTCGCCAATTTCAGCTCCGATGACAAGCGCTTTTTGGAGATATTCTTCAGCCTTGTCGTATTGGCCAAGCGACTTAAACACAGTACCTATGTTTCCATAACATGATGCTTCCTCTCCTCTGTCCCCAGTCTCAGTCTTGATGACAAGCGCTTTTTGGAGATACTCTTTAGCCTTGTCGTATTGGCCAAGCGACTTAAACACAGTACCGAGGTTTCCATAACATGATGCCTCCCCTCCTCTGTCGCCAATTTCAGTTCTGATGACTAGAGCTTTTTGGAGATACTCTTCAGCCTTGTCGTATTGGCCAAGCGACTTAAACACAGTACCTAGGTTTCCATAAGATGATGCTTCCCCTCCTCTGTCGCGAATTTCGGTTCAGATGACAAGCGCTTTTTGGTGATATTTTTTAGCCTTGTCGTATTGGCCAAGCGACTTAAACACAGTGCCTAGGTTTCCATAACATGATGCCTCCCCTCCTCTGTCGCCAATTTCAGTTCTGATGACAAGCGCTTTTTGGAGATACTCTTCAGCCTTGTCGTATTGGCCAAGCGACTTAAACACAGTACCTAGGTTTCCATAAGATGATGCTTCCCCTCCTCTGTCGCCAATTTCGGTTCTGATGAGAAGCGCTTTTTGCTGATATTCTTTAGCCTTGTCGTATTGGCCAAGCGACTTAAACACAGTACCTAGGTTTCCATAACATGATGCTTCCCCTCCTCTGTCGCCAATCTCAGTCATGATGACAAGCGCTTTTTGGAGATACTCTTCAGCCTTGTCGTATTGGCCAAGCGAATTAAACACAGTACCTAGGTTTCCGTAGTCAGTTGCCTCCCCTTCTCTGTCGCCAATTTCGGTTCTGATGACAAGTGCTTTTTGGAGATACTCTTTAGCCTTGTCGTATTGGCCAAGCGACTTAAACACAGTACCTAGCTTTCCATAACATGATGCCTCCCCTCCTCTGTCGCCAATTTCAGTTGTGATGACAAGCGCTTTTTGGAGATATTCTTCAGCCTTGTTGTATAGGCCAAGCGACTCAAACACAGTACCTAGGTTTCCATAACACGATGCTTCCCCTCCTCTGTCGCCAATCTCAGTCTTGATGACAAGCGCTTTTCGGAGATATTCTTCAGCCTTGTCGTATTGGCCAAGCGAATGAAACACAGTACCTAGGTTTCCGTAGTCAGTTGCCTCCCCTTCTCTGTCGCCAATTTCAGTTCTGATGACAAGCGCTTTTTGGTGATATTCTTCAGCCTTGTCGTATTTGCCAAGCGACACAAACACAGTACCTAGGTTTCCATAACATGATGCTTCCCCTCCTCTGTCGCCAATCTCAGTCTTGATGACAAGCGCTTTTTGGAGATCTTCTTCAGCCTTGTCGTTTTGGCCAAGCGACTTAAACACAGTACCTAGGTTTCCGTAGTCAGTTGCCTCCCCTTCTCTGTCGCCAATTTCAGTTGTGATGACAAGCGCTTTTTGGTGATATTCTTCAGCCTTGTCGTATTTGCCAAGCGACCCAAACACAGTACCTAGGTTTCCATAACATGATGCTTCCCCTCCTCTGTCGCCAATTTCAGTTGTGATGACAAGCGCTTTTTGGAGATACTCTTCAGCCTTGTCGTATTGGCCAAGCGACTTAAACACAGTACCTAGGTTTCCATAAGATGATGCTTCCCCTCCTCTGTCGCCAATTTCAGTTGTGATGACAAGCGCTTTTTGGAGATACTCTTCAGCCTTGTCGTATTGGCCAAGTGACTTAGACACAGTACCTAGGTTTCCATAAGATGATGCTTCCCCTCCTCTGTCGCTGATTTCGGTTCTGATGACAAGCGCTTTTTGGTGATATTCTTTAGCCTTGTCGTATTGGCCAAGCGACTTAAACACAGTACCTAGGTTTCCATAACATGATGCTTCCTCTTCTCTATGGCCAATTTCAGTTCTGATGACAAGCGCTTTCTGGAGATACTCTTCAGCCTTGTCGTATTGGCCAAGCGACTCAAACACAGTACCTAAGTTTCCATAACATGATGCTTCTCTGCTTCTGTCGCCAATTTTGGTTGTTATGGCAAGGGCCTTGTCAAGATATTCCTTTGCTTTTAGGCTCTCGCCAAGTTTATAAAGCACAATTCCATACTCTCTGTATAAGTCAAACAGTTTCCTTCCGTATCTTTCCGCACTTATGTAGTCAGAGATATGACGATAAGCGCTGAAAAGAACGGTATAGATGTCGCTGTAAAATTGTAGCAGTGCTGAATCAAATTGGTCTTTGCTGTTTTGATCGGTGCCATTTAGCAAAATCAAACATTCGCTGCATATCTCAATGGCTTTCTGAATGCGATCTGAGTTGAGCCAGAACAGGGCAACAAGTAAGGCGATGCTCATGAAAGGTGTCATGGCCTCTGCTGTTAGGTTTCCATTGCAATCCTCTCCTGTTATCAGGGAAACATTATTTTTAGTAACACAATACTAAATGGTCGATAATCTGGATTAATAACGAGTCACTGCAAACAGGAACACACATGTTAAGTTACAAAAACGGGCTGGGTCGATTACACCCGGAAAGTATTTGTAACAAGCTGAAAGTGTTAGAATTCCCAATATCCACTTAAAAACAAAAAAAAAAGTGAAGAAGTCGGTTGGTCACCTTTCAAAAAAATAAATATCTAAGAGTTTTTGTCGTAATATTCAGTTTTTTCTATCATTGTTCACATTTTACTTAAGTGATAGACAGTTGTGCCTGACTTAAACTACATTCATATTTGAAAATCATTTGATATCAAGCTTAGAGGTCGTTTCAAAAAGTTTCATTGTTACTAAGAATTTGTAACAGGATTTGTGATCGAACTAAAAATAAAATATAAGTTCTAGTTTCCCCAGTCTTAGTTTATTGATTTTGTTATACCGGCTGTCAAAAGGTATTTGCAATACAGAGCCTTGGAATCACTGAATTTTATTTCTTAGTCATGAATAATACAAGAATGATTAATGAGAAAATTGCTCTAGTTTTCTTGAGAACTATTCGACAGTTTAAATAATGTACCGTCCAAAGTGTTTGTACTGGACATTCTCTCGCTCGATTTTATTGAAACATCGTTCTTTTGGTTCATTACCGTTTTGTTAAAGTGCAAAAGAGATAGTCACAGATGTAAGTTAGTGATAATTTTACTTTGAGTACTGATTCCGAGTTAGCATTCCCCGACTTTTAAGCGTTTAAATTTTTAACCTGAAATAAGACAGATAGACCTCTAAATACAGTTTACTTGGAACTTTCCTGACATTCCACAATATTTAAAAATTGCAAAGATTGTTCATTTTTAAAGCAACGAACGCATTTATCAGATGAATGTCCCTGAAAACGAATATTTTTTTAGCAGATGAGGATCATTAATAAGATGCGAGACCACAAAGGTTTGATATGATCGCCTTATAACAAATTAATTTAACTTCGGTGGCGAATTTTACACAACGTTACAGTACTTTAAAGTGACAGGACAAATATTAACTTGGAAAACAGGACTGATTCATTCCAGGCTTTGCCATTAATTAAAACGTTACTCATGCAAAATTACTCTAAATAACAATATTCTAGTGCTATTTACTTGGTACATGACAGAATGCTGGATATCTTTTTACTTGTTCTTACCAAGTTGTCGACTTCGAGGTTGATGCTTTTGAAAGTGAAACGACAGAAAATACTTAAATGAAAGACAGTTGTGACTTTTCCTTATTTTCCGAAACCTCCGCCTCTTGACTTACCTTAACCGCGACTATTTTGTGATTCAGGTAAGAACACAAACTTTGCAAATCAATGATTTTTCATCGCGAGTATTCAAAGAAGCAAGCAAGGAGTGTTATCAGTATAAGATGTGGTTTCCCTTTTCTTAGTTTTTCGTTTTTTTCTTTTATTTCGACCGTCAAAACGTTTATGTAATGAGACTCCTTAGGATCAAGCATCCTAATTTCTTGTTCATGAATAATACAAAATCGTTGTTTGTATTTTGACTCGCCTTAAGAGCTCGTCAAATACGGACACAACTCGAAAAAATACTCAGCGACACTACACACCAAAACCTCCAATAAGTTATTTATTATCCAACTGCTTTTTTTTCCCGCTGAGTCTTTCAGCTCATTCCTCATAAGGCGGGAAAAGCAAAGCGGAGAGAGAAGCGTATTGTGCGCAGCCGACTGGTTAGCCTGGCTTTTTTTTTCAGTACAAAATAACCAACGGTCCAAATACAGGTATAATATCGTAGGATGTTTATTCTCTATTCGCGCGTTATTTGTTCTCTACTTTGTGCAGTTGGATAATAAACCTCAGTACTACAGTGTTCTGGAAACTTTCCTGACATTCTGCAATATGGAAAATTTGAAAAGATTGTTCTAGCAGTTTGTTACCAAGAAATGAGCTTACTTATCATGCCAGTGTCCCTAAAATCAAACCTTTTCATAGTTGATGAGGATGATTGGTAAGATGTGAAGCCATAAAGATTTAACGAAGTCGCTTTGAAACAAATAAATTTCATTTTGGCTGCGATTTTTGCATTACGTGGCATGACTTGATAGGCACAGGACAAATATTAACAAAACAGCATTCATTTTAGGCTTTGCCATTAAAACGTTACCCATGCAAAGTTACTCAGAATAACAGTAGACTATTACTAATTCATTTGTAGACGATAGAAAGCTGTATACCTTGTATTCAACATGTTTACTCGTACTCACCAAGTTGTTGACTTCGTAGTGGATGCTTTTGAAAGTGAAAGGACAAAAACAATGAAACACAATCGGGACTTTCCCTACATTCCAGAACATCCGCAGATGAACAACAATTACCGTGATTTAAATACATGACTTTCATATATTCAGAGTCGTTTAATTACCGTTACTGTTTTGTTATTCAGATGAGAACACAAACGTTCATAACATCCTGAGGGTACATTTTTTAGATGTTAAAACCATTCTTCACGATTCTTTTTTTTTAAACACCTAAAATCATTTGTTAGTAAACCTTTAGCTGACAGTTTGATATAAATCTAATTCACAAAAGTTTGCGTGATGGCCGGCATGTTAACTTTGCCTTTGAATGATCAATTTCCTTTAGTTCCTTACAGAGAATTATAACATCTTTCTACGTGAGCACGCGGTGTCAGATATTGACCTCTCTTCTATCAGTTTCTCAAATTATACAATGCTTAACAATCTTAGCTGATGAGGTTGAAATATACCGTATGAAGCCATAAAGGTTTGAAGAAAGCAAATAACCGGTGGAGATATGAAGCATCCGTTCAACGGAAAAGTACGCTAAAACTATATATGCAATAACAGTAAATTTAAGAAAGTTTCAGTTTTTCTAAGAAAATTAAAACATCTCTCTTCGTGAGCGCGCAGCGTCACGATTTATCTTCTTATGCCAGACTCTGGCGCTTTAACAGACAACAAAACAGATTACGGCCTTAAGAAAATTATATACCGTGGAACCCGCCGCTGGTGTCCAAAGATTTAAGTGAAGGGTATCTCGACCATGAAACGCTTGTGTACAAGAAGATAACGGAAATTCAATTCGAATCTACCGCGATCTCTGAATCGTTCGTTGAACCTTCCTAAAACCAGTCAAGTTAATAGCCAATGCAGATCATAGCCACTGGAAAACCACGTAATGAAGCACCACGGATTTCCTATGATATCAGCGAGGGACAGTCCATAACATAAATAGAGGTCTGAATATCAATTTCTCAAATTGAACGATACTCAATAACCTTAGTTAATGAGGATAGATTATACGGTATAAAACCACAGAGATTTGAAATAGTCGCCTTAGAAAAGATCACAGTGGTGGCGATTCAATCGCGTCATCAACCGCTTTAATAAAGGACTGACGCTCGAAACGTGACATAACTATATATTGCAAACATGCCACAGATCATAGTAGGTACTTTTTTCAATTTTTTTCCCTGGAATGACCTTTAAACTTAACGCATGTTTATTCTATTTTTATTTTATCTTTTTTTAGTTACTTGGGTGGTGGAAGGTTCTATCTAGAGGCTGTCGTGATTGCTAACCCATCTATACCAGCATACAGGTACACAAAGAGAACTTCAAGAGGCAGATTTCTTTACGTGTAACAAATTTCCTTGCCTTGCCTTGCCTTGCCTTGCCTTGCCTTGCCTAACATGTAACTTCATATTGACTCAATTGGTTGCAGTGCTCAACAGTTAGAGAAGCAGAACAGATTCAGCCGTCATTGAAGTCTTGTAATTCTGTAAATAAAAATTCATCACTTTTTCGATTACAAAACTGTTTGTCTCTAGTAAAAGCATACTGTCTGTGTGGACAGAGTGCGATTCTCGTCTGTTCCAGAGTTTTCCATATGCCCTCACTAAGACAGACCCCCTTCCGCCTTGTACGCTTTGGATTGTTAGATATTGCATACCTTACTGGGCCTTTGAGACACACAACTTTGAACTAAAATTCTCCTGTACTTTCGCTTTCATCGCAGATACGATTCCTCTAGCAAAGTGTTTTCCAGGGAATATTACAATATTGATGCCATTTTTCAAGCGAGGAAAGACGCCATAACTACAGCGTCAAGAGCTAAGAAATTTAGACTCATTCTAAGTACGTTAGGGAGGCAAGGAAGTTCAAAGGTGTTAGTGGTATTGTATACAGTTAAAATGTGAAAATTTTATAAGTAAATATACTTTTTGAACTGGTTATTATTCATATTATCATCTTTTCCAAATAGTTCATAAAGCAGATTTCATTGATCCTTTCGTCTTTCACTTTTATCTGCAGAATTTAGGACAACGATTCAGTACGGCAGGCCTGGAATATGTATTTGTGCTCATGTCTGAAATATATCCGGGCAAACTTGGATTGTTCGAGGACGTGGAAACGTAAGTTGCTTTTCTTGTTAAGATGTGAAAACTGCTTTCCGTCGATAAGATAAGATAAGAACCGTCACAGGAGATGAGAAGTAATAATACTAGAAAAATCTTGCCTTAATTTGGCCATACAAGTCATTTAAATAATGAAAAAGTTGTTTATTGATTAACTTGTCAAATACAGCGATACACTAAAATAAATGGAAAGTGCTGATGTTCTTAAATATAAATGTTTAAAATATGAACCTTTCCTTTACAGGTCAATAAATGCAAAACCTACATAATTTATATATTTCTCAACATTCGATAATTTAGAATGACTAATTTTTAAATGTTTTTCGGCCAAAATTTCGTTTTTTACAAATTGCTGGTGGATTTTTGTACATTATGAACCTTTGGTAACCATTCAAAATTGAATTTGAAACGATGAGTCATTTGGAATGTGATTTTAAAATATGCAGATTGTTCTAATGGATTGATAGTTAATACTCCACTTACTCTGCATTTGTGCAA